TTTTTTTTTTTTTTTTTTTTTTTTACAAGACACATACGACGTTACAGTCGTCAAGTATTGTAATCGCTACTGTACTTGATAGGGTTTTGTTTTTTCTCTATAATTTCTTTTTTTTTCACTATTGATACCTGCATTCTTGTATGAAATAAATTCTTCGGAATTTCTCTCTCACATCGCAAAAAATTTGAATTGGCCTTTTTTCATTATCGCATTTTTTCGTACCACTGATACAGCTGGTAACTTCTCCATTCTTCCATCTTGAGCCTTTCTCATTCACATAATTCTACATGTAAGGACCGCAGTAGCGTAAGCTACTTCGTTATGCTTTTGCGAGATAAAGCACAGATTTGACAGTTTATCTGTGGCGGTTTGATCAACAGTTGTTTCGTCGTCGCATTTCTTCTCGTCATTGATGCAGCTGGTAGTCTGTTGAATTTGAATTTTATTGGAATAAAATTAAGCAGGAAATTCATTACATTTCATTGGACAAAAAATACATTGTAATTCGGTGAAAGATCTGGAAATCGTTGTTCAAGATGGTCGTTAAGTTCAAAGGCCAGCAGATGTTGCGTGTGTTTCAATCTGGCAAGCGTTAATACCTCGTTCAAGCTTGAAAAATCCTCTATCACCCCACCTGAAAAGCAAAAAGTCTTACTGCATAAAAGTATTAGGATCAATGAGTCAAAGCGGTGATTGGTGGAAAAAAATTGGTGATTGCAAGAGGAGTGAGGGCTGAGGCGTTGAATTTTTTGAATGACGAAGGATGGCGAGTTTCAGCACTCCAGCTGTTTTGGTTTGCAGAGTTGCGTCAAATTTCATGTGTTCTTACGTGAAGGAAATGGGAGCGTTAGTTTTCTGTTTTCGAAATCACTTGATTTAGTGAAATGGCCTTTCCCCTGCACCTACACACTGCGAAGCGGGTTTTAACCATGGTTTTGGCAGTTGTTTTAACTCTTTGAAAAGAAAAGAATTTGCATTATCACTCATTTTGGAGAAAAATTGATTTTTTTTTATTTTTTATTCACTCAAATTACCTCCGGCTTCTATCTTAAGAATTGTCGATGGCCTCATCAGTTATGCTACTAGTAATGAATACTGTTTTCATCCGACAGGCGAATTCTTCACGCGACACACTCATTGTAAAGGAGTGATTTTGAGTGAAAATGCTTACCAATCGCCCCAACTATTCTTGAGTAGCCAGTATTTCGTTCCTCGCTCAACACCGTAACCAATTACTTCAGCGGCATGATTGGGCTCCATTGTCCAGCATTCATAGGCATCCGGCAATACACCCGATTTGTAAAACTTATAGCGCTTCGGAAATGCTAGATCTGTAATGTAGGAAATTGCTATGATTAAGAATATATACATAAATGTGCATCTCTGGCATGACGCCAGTATTCTGCGGTATGCAATAGTCAGACGAATATCAGCAGACACAGAGGATTCGATATTGCCAAAATTGAACGTTCCGCTCTTAGATTTTACTTCAGGAGTCGATCTTTACTTGGCAAATTCTTTTTCTTGATGATTCAGGAATTAAGGGCTTAGTCAGCACATTATTCTCATAAAAAATGCTGGCTCATAATTGCAATTATTCTAAAAAATGCTGAGAGACAATTATTGTCCGTACCATGGGTTTACTTCTTCTTGCACTATTTCTCTCTCTGTTGTCTCTTTCTTTTGCATATTTGTCTTGCAAATTAGTCACACGACTGTACAGTGAATGGCAGGTAGGAGGCTGTACTGATGATTCCCCTTATTCGCATGCAAAGCCCTGTCTGCGTTAAGCGGACTGCGTTGTAAAAAAACGGACTGCGTTGTAACATATCTTCTTATACATGACATTTAGTCCATCCCCTTCTAATCTACTATTCCACACACTTACTGGGGCACCTATAATCCGCTTGTATACCACTTGCAACATATCCCGTGGCATCTTTTGATTTTGCTTCCAAGCAACGTAAAATTTTAACACACGCCTGCTTTTTGCGGGATTTCCGCCGCAGATATGGGAAATATCTAAATTGATAGTTCGGCCGGTTTTGGCCTTCTTTACAGTAAATCATTTGTGGTTGAAATGCATGCATACGACAGTCAATAGTTATTAAATGATAATTATCGGTGTTTATCGAGGAAAGGTCGATTGGTGCCTTTTTATCCCTTACCCATCGCCGGTCCCTTCCGCTGTCACTATCCGCGCAACATCTTCCACGATTCCATCGCCAATGTCAATGTCATTTTCCCGAAGGCTGTAGGATTCCCTTGGTGGAGAGATGAAAGGGAAGAAAGGGACACACATTGTGGTGTAAAGTTCACATCTGCGAAAGGAATGAATTTGTTGAAGAGCGGATTTCCATCAATATTTCTGTTACAATTTCCCTTTCCTAAGAAATATTTACATTCTTTTTCCACCACTAATGCTCGAAGAGAATGAGAAATACTGAAGTTTGGGACTTTCAATTACCTCTTGACGTGGCAGCGATAATCACAGTGACAAAAAAAGAATATGCAACGTGAGAAGAAGGAAAATGGGATCGCCCTGTTTTGCAATCAGAAGGGCTCAAAATTATTTAAATGAGAAGAAAATCTGCTTATTTCTTGCTAAAAATCTGCTATCTTGAGCGCAAAAATCTGCTAATTTTAGCGAAAAAGAAGTTAAAAGCAGAAAAATCTCGTTGAAATGCAAAGATCTCATCCTGAAACACTGAACCATGCTGTCCTATAAGTTCGAAATCAAACTATTAACTGTAACTTTACTGGATAAAACCAGAAGGTGACAGAAAAAATGATGAAGCGAAGGATGCTTGGCGTGTCTCTTCACAACTAAATAATCAGTTCCTCCACCAGATGTAATGACACGTAGCATCGTATCATTGCTACCACGTGAGAAAGTAACATTCAATTGGCGGAGCATGTTACTTACACAGCCGATGGATGTCGTTTATTGGTACACATGCGACCACACGGAGAAAGTAATTCGTTGGACAGGGCACATTGCCTGTCCAGCCGACAGTTGGTGGACTTCGCATATTAGTGGGTGGTATTTACGAGGAAGTAAACGACCAATCGGGCTGCCTCCGAGGCACATGCACATCGAGCAGGTAGCCTCTTAAAAGCGTCGGAACTACTGTCAAAACCATGGTCAAAAACAACCTAGAGGTGTAAGAAAAACCTATTCACTAAACTATTAGGTAGCACTTTTATCAGTGCTATTATCTGTAGCGATTTTACGAAACTGCATTCGAATACGTTGTTTTCTTGATGAAGCGGAAAATTTCATACGCCCTTACGTGAGTACCACGCATAAGTGGGGGCTGAATTTGAAATCTTTAATTAGTACTTGTACAGGGAATATCCCTATAAAGTCTCAGTCCCTTAGCTCGTGTGGATCCCGAGATCGCTTCCCCGTCAAAAAATTTGTATATTTTTTTAAAGTTCGCGGCACTCAGGCGTCCGCGGGGGATGAAATTAAAGCGAGAGAGTCGCGCATGGTACGGGCACATACTCC